CTCACTTAACCCAAAGAGAATCTTTATTCAAGGCAATTCTCCAAACAAACTTTCCAAGGGCTACTTTATTCTATAATTTCACATCCCTGATTCCCAACCCCCCCCCCCCTCTATTTCTTAGATTTGCAAACCCAACTCCAAGAAATAGGAGGTTGTTTAGATAGTATGGCTGACCCACACCATAAGAAAGCCCGACATAGCTGGTTTATTCTCTCAATCACTATTTTGGGTAACAAAGTACATTGAGCCCAGTATGTATGAAGGCTCATAAGAACATAGTTAATAAGCACAACCCTAGCTGCATACACAAGTGTCTACTAGACCATCTAGTAAGTCCAGCTAGTATTTGATCCACTAGTCTGTCAAAATCAACAACCTTCAAGTATTTATCATTTAGAGGGATACCTAAATACTTAAAAGGCATTGAACCTTCAGCAAAACCAGAAGAGTTCAACACAGCCTGCTTTACATCATCCTTTACATTTCCAAAGTATATATAGCAGTCTTCTTTGAATTAGCTTGAAGGCTAGAAACTCTTTCAAACATCACTAAAGCCCTAGTTAAGTAAGAGATAGAAAGTTTATCATCATGAGCAAACATCATCAAATCATCCGCAAAAATCAAGTGATTCAATTTCAACTGCTTACACTTGTAATGAAACTTGAAACCTTTCTTCTTACCCACCTTCTTTAGTAACCTAGAGAGATACTCTATGACAATGACAAAGAGCAACGGGGACATGGGATCTTGTTGCCGCACACCTCTCTGACCCTTAAAGAACCCATACATACCCCCATTCATCAAAATAGAATAAGCAGGAGAAGTAACACAAGCCATGATCCAATGAACAAACTTATTAGGAAAACCTATGCAAACCCGCATATCCTGAATGAAGCTCCAACTAACATAGTCATAAGCTTTGCTAATATCAGCCTTAATGGTGCATCTTGAAGATTTCCTCTTGTTTCCATAGTCCTTAAGTATATCCTGACAAATCAGAACATTGTCCAAGATAGATCTACCAGAGACAAAAGCATCCTGTACATCATCAATCAAACTAGGAAGCACTTCCTTTAGCCTTGAACAGATCATTTTGGAAATGAATTTGTAAATTACATTACAACATGCTATAGGGCTAAAATGAGTCACCATGCAAGCACTTTCAATTTTAGGCACAAGAGGGAGAGTAGAAACACTTACTTGTCTCAAAAGATGACCATGATAAAAAAAATCCAAGAACAGCCTTGCAAATATCAGCACCTACATTGCTCCAGGTAGCCTTAAAGAACTTACTATAAAAACCGTCTGGGCCCAGAGCCTTATTATCATCAATCTCCCAAAGAGCTGTCTTCACATCCTCCATCCCAAAGCTTCTACAAACACTGATCCTCTGATTATCAAAAGAACTAGACCCTCAGAGATAACAACAGGATGACAACATAGTCAACCTGCTTCTTAGTACCAAGCAAACCCTTGTTAAAGGAAATGAAAAGATCAGCCACTTTATCCGGGTCTTGAATAACATTTCCTTCAGAGTCTTGAATACCTCTAATTCTGTTACGAACCCTTCTTCGCCTCAAACAAGCATGAAAGTAAGTGAGTTAACATCACCCTCCTTAAGCCAGTGAACCTTAGCTTTCTGTTTAAGGAAAGCATATATAGCAGTATGAGTAATTGTATACCTATCCCTGGTAATCATTTCTTCAGCTATTAACTGCATATTACAAGGATCAACATCCAACTTCCCCTGAATCTCAGCCAGCTCAGCAGCAGTTGAGCTCTTCAAAGCCTCCTTCACTTTTTGCAGTGTTTTCACCACCATGAACATATCAGTACCCTGAACAGGAGTATCCCAAGCCTGTTTTACAGCTTCCATAAAACCTGGAGCCTCAATCCACATATTGAAAAACCGAAAAGGTTTCTCAATATTATCAGCTCTACCAAACACATCAATACAACAAGGGCAATGGTCCATTAAGCCTTATGGCAAGAAGTTAGCAGAAGCATCAGGAAAATTATCATTCCAAACATCGTTCACAAGAACCCTATCAATCCTAAAGCAGACTCTATCACCACCTTGTTGTTTATTCGTCCAGGTAAAAAAACTACCACCCGTTTTCAACTCCACAAGCTGAGCATCAATAAGACAATCTCTGAATTTATTAACCTCATCCATAGAACAAGGAGAACCAATTCTATCCCCCAAATTCAGAATATTATTAAAATATTCCCCAACAATCCAAAGACCATTAAAAGTATCAGATATCTCAACCAGCTGGTTCCAAAGACTTTCTTTCTGTTGCCCAGTGTTCAAACCATAGACTGTAGTAAACCAAAACTTAGTTCCTATAGCCTTGTGAACAACCTCAACATGAACTAGTTGCACCTCCACCCTAACCACAGTAACATAAAACACATTAGGAAGCCAAATAACCCTGATCCTACCACCAACTGCCTTATTATAATTTGCAACAACAGCCCACCTATTCCCAAAACCAGCAAACACCTTACTAAATCTACCACTCATATTTTTTGTTTCACTTAGACTAAACAACCCTATGTTGTGATAATGTTTGAGGAACCATACAATATCACACACTTTACAGGGTTTGTTAATCCCTCGAACATTCTAAAAGCCAATCTTATCAATAAATGGAATAGGATCGCACACCCCTCTCTAGGTCACCATACACCATCCTACCATCAAAAACCTTCAACTGCTCCTTCCTCTGAACAATATCCTGATTATGTGCCTAATCATCACTTTTCACAATAGTTAGTATCTCCTCTCCCAACACACCAAATATATTATGCATATCAACTCCTTGAGATGTTTTCATTACAGTTTCTTGCCTCTGTTTCTAGACAGGTCTCCAGACTTTTTTCTGCTGCCTGGGTTCCTAGTTTATAAATCTTGATTCCTTCTCCTGTTAACAATATGATTAGGGCAGTCCTTCTCCACATGACCCATCCTATTGCACATGGCACACCTTACTGGTTTCCATTCAAAAATTACTTGTTGATGTACCAATCTACCCTCCTCATCTAGAAACTCAACATATTCTAGCAACTAACTTTGCACCGAGACTTCAATCAAAACTCTAGCATATTCCACCAGCTCTTTAATAGATATAGCTCTATCAGTTTTAATGGGTTTACCAATTAGACTAGCAATCTTCAAAATAGTTATCTTATCCCAAAATTTCATGTCCAAATCCAGAAATCTAACCCAAACAGGAACTTCAGAAACGCATTCCTCCTTTAAATTCATCCCAACCTCCCAGCGTTTCAAAATAAGGGGTTTTTTTATCAAACATAAAGGGTCCAGTGGCTATAACCTTCTCTCGGGCTTCTCTAGTTAAGAATCTAACGATGAAAACTCCATTTGATTTCGAATAAATCCTATCAATACCATATTTTCCCCAAATTCGACACAAGAAACCACTCATCATAGAATAAGAAGGTCTAGTACAAAGAGCATAGCACACAATCGCTGAATCCCAATATTCAATTTATAGCTTTACGTCAGCCATGCTTAGTTGCATCAATCGATCAGCATTACTACCCCCATCTTGAGAATTCAAGGTATTATAGTCCTCTTCAAGATTCACCCCACCAACCCCATCAATGTTAAACAAACTACTCCAACTCCTTCCTCTGTTGCCATTAGCGGGTTCAAGAACAGGGGATTGGGACGAGAATTTAGGGCTAATAATTCCCCCAATTTCTAACCCACCAGCACACTTACTATGAAAATTTGATTCAAAAGGATCAACCACCATTAAAATGGGTGTAGGACCAATTAAACGAGGATTAACAGAATCTGGGCTAATAGAGTTCTTCGCCATTAAAGCTAATTTAGGGGTTTGATTGATTTCCTGCAACTAGCGATCAAAATGATGCTTATGGACCTGCTTCTCTTACTTAGTCACCTCCTTCGTCGGAATTTCAATCACACCATCAAGCCAGCTCTCCAACAAACCCACTTCACCATCAACAGATTTGTTTGAATGTGTTTGACTTTCATTTTATTCAATTAGCATCGTTGAATGCATTTTACTTTCATTTGATTTAAAAAGCTTTGTTTGAATGTGCTTGACTTTCATTTAATTTAATTAGGTTTGTTGAATGTATTTGACTTTCATTTGATTCAAAAAGCTTTGTTTGAATGTATGTGTTTGATTTTGATTTGATTCAATTAGCTTTGTTAAATTCATATGACTTTCATTAGATACAATTTGCTCTGTTGAATGCATTTGAATTTAATTAGAATTTAAAGGCTTTGTTTTAATGTGTTTGAATTTGATTTGATTCAATTAGCTTTACGGAATGCATTTGACTTTCATTTAATTCAAAAAGCCTTGTTTGAATATGTTTAACTTTGATTTAATTCTTTTTTATTTTTGTGAATAAATAAAATTTTATTAGCAAATAAAGAAAAAGATACAACTTATAATAAAACTGAGTTGTAACTCTAAAACTACATCAGCTCGAAGGCCACCACACACCAAGATCAACCCCAATCTGTAAGAGACCACCTTCTAGGAAGGGTGCCTAAAACAGAGAGGGGGGAAAAACAACCCAAAACCCGGACTCGAGTATAAAGTCACCTTCTAGGAGAGGAACTTTAAACAGGGATCAGACAAAAACCCAAACACAAAGCCAAACTATGGAAAGCAAAATAAAAAACACAACAATCCCATAAACAAAGGAAGGCAAAACAACACCTACACACATCTAGCAAACACAGCAAAAAAAAACATAACCAAAAACAACAAAACCAGCAGCCCACAAAAACAGCAGCATCAACCCACACCACTACTGCTCAGCATCCAATTAGCAGCCCAAATAGAACAAAGAGGCACCAGCAGGCCACTGTTGAAATAGGCAGACATACAACACCAGGTGAGAAGAAAGAATCAAAGGAACAACCTTTAAAACCACAGCAGAACAGTCCCAGGATCACAGAAACTCAAAATAATAAAATGACACACACAACATCATGAGCAGCAACTCCCAGCAGACCCTGACAAAGACAACAGCCTGCATAGAAACCAGAACACATCTACAGCACCATCAAAACCAGCCTGCACAAAAACAGAACAAAGCTACAACACAAAAATAGCCTGCAAATAACACCTCAGCAGCCGAACATCTCAGCAAGCCAGCACCACAGAATACAGAACAACGTTCAGAAAAAATAGCATAGCAGTACACAACACTGAAACCGCACCATAGAATTAGAGCTAGAACCCTTTGGAAGGAATGTTGTTCCTCAAAGACATCAACCACTGACAGTGTTTTCTTCTCCATTTACACCCAATAAGCTGCTGAAAACAATCCACCACTATTGAGCACACCTTATGGCATAGAATTTTAGGAATTGACATAGCCTGATTCTTAAAAAAAGAATTCCTAGCAGACCACAAATAATACACTAGCGCTGCAAGGCTAGCAAAACCAATTTTTCTCAAAATTGGATCTTTGAACTCTTTCTTCCAATGCTTCCAAGTGCTTATAATGTTGAAACGACCTTCCTGAATTTTAAGCCAATCACAGATAACCAGCAGACATCTTCTGCTATAAGCACAGTCAAAAAATAGATGTTGTAGACTTTCAATATCATTACCACACAGCAAGCATCTATCAGTATTGCTAATTCTATGTTTGAACAAAGTATCCCTGATTCTAAGTTTATTAAGAATTGCTAGCAAGGCTATGAAGGATGTCTTGGGAATATTGTACCGACTCCAAATCCAGTCTGTCCACTCCACTTTTTCAGCACTTCCCTGTAACCATTCATATATAGAAGATATAGAATCTTTTTCACAGTCTAGTTATCATTCTTGAAACCTAGCTGAAGCTCATCTTTGATTTTACAGATCTTTTTCCAGGCCCACCCCTTAGCCTTCTATGGCCTATAAGACCACCAGTTCTAAGCCATAATGTACACATCATGAACCCACTTAACCCATAGTGAGTCCTTTTTCATAGCAATTTGCCACACATATATACCCAGAGCTGCCTTATTCCACCCTTCACTGTCCCTTATACCAAAACCACCAATCTTCTTAGCCTTACAAACCTAGGTTCAAGCCAGAGGAGAGACTTTAGAAAGGATAGCAGACCCACACCACAAAAAATCTCTGCATAGCTGGTTAATTCTTTGAATAACAATCTTAGGTAAAAGCACACATTGAGCCCAATAAGAGTGCAAACTGATCAGAACTGAATTAATAAGGACAACTGTCGCTGAATATGACAAGTTCTTGCTTGACCAACACATAAGCTTATGTAACATTTTATCAATAAGCACATTTGATTTGATTTGATTCAATTAGCTTTGTTGAATGTGTTTGAAAGTGTTTGAATTTGATTTGATATAATTAGCTTTGTTTAATGCATTTGACTTTATTTCATTTAAAAAGCTTTAATTAAATGTGTTTGACTTTGATTTGATTCAAATAGCTTTATTAAATGCATTTGTCTTTCATTTGATTGAAAAAGCTTTGTTTGAATGTGTTTGACTTTTATTAAATTCAATTAGCTTTCTTGAATGCATTTGACTTTCCTTTGATTCAATTAGCTTTGTTGAATGCATTTAACTTTCATTTGATTCAAAAAGCTTTGTTTACATGTATTTGACTTTCATTTGATTCAATTAGCTTTGTTTAATGTATTTGAATTTCATTTTATTCAAAAAGCTTAGACTGAAGGTAATTGACTTTATTTAGATTCAACTAGTTGTATTGAAGCTTTTAACTATCATTTGATTCAATTTTCTTTGTTGAATGCATTTGACATTCATTTGGTTCAATTAGGTTTGATGATTGCATTTGACTTTCATTTCTTACAAAAATCTTTGTTTGAATGTGTTTGACTTTCATTTCATTCAGTTAGCTCTATTAAATGCATTATACTTCCATCTGATTGAAAAAGCTTTATTTGAATGTGTTTGATTTTCATTTGATTCAATTATCTTTGTTGAAGTTGTTTGACTTTGATTTAATTTAATTAGCTATGTTAGATACATTTGACTTTCATTTGATTTTAAAAGCTTTGTTTGAATGTGTTTGAATGTGTTTGACTGTGATTTGTTCAATTAGCTTTGTTAAATGCGTTTGACTTTCATTTGATTCAATTAGCATTGTTGCATGCATTTGACTTTCATTTTATTTAATTAGCATTGTTGAATGCTTTAACTTTTATTTGATTCAAAATGCTTTTTTTGAATGTGTTAGACGTTTATTTGATTCAGTTAGCGTTGTTGAATACATGTGACTTTCATATGATTCAATTATCTTTGTTGAATGCATTTTACTTTCATTTGATTCAAATAGCTTTGTTGAATGCATTTGACAATCATTCGAATCCAAAAGGTTTGCTTGAATGTTTTTGACATGTATTTGATTCAATTAGCTTTAGTGAATGGATTTTACATCATTTGATTAAAAAAGCTTTGTTTGAATGTGTGAGACTATCATTTGATTCTCTTGCCTTTGTTGAATGCATTTCACTTTCATTTGATTCAATTAGCTAATTAGTGAGTTTATTGCTGGAATTGTTGCTTTGGTCTTAAAACTTTTTGAGAAGTTTAATCTGGAAGTTTTCACCCAACCACCTTTGATGGTTCTTTTGGCTTTAGCCCATCTACCTAGAGATCCCAAATATGAACCTCTCTTTAACAAGTATGGGGATGTGATCAAGAAGAATGGGTTGTGGAATGAAAAATGCCATCATGAGGGGAAGTGGTAACCAAGCATGTCTAGCCTTAAGAGAGATTTGCACTATGTGGAGCGTAAGTTTGAACCTAGAAGGAAAATTTTGAGATTTCCTAAACTCCGAGCCAACACTTCATTGAGAGAAGATGAGCAAATGTACTACTTAAATGCCCAACTCCCTTTTTCATACCGAAAAGACCCTCATAAGTTTGTGTCATCCAATGATGAGTCCATACCACCTCTTGGTAGGAGCAAGAATTACCCTTCTCCTACTCATACTCCAAGCTATGAACCTCCAAAATGTCCAAGTTAAAAAGTCCACTTTCATGTTGCAAAAACTCTTACCCAAGCTGTTATTAAAAAATCCCCGGTCCAAAAGATCAAAAGCCCAATGCTTCTTCAAACCAATATCATGGTGAGGTGAGCCCAACAAAAATTCCAAGTTACACTCCAGGCCTAGACAACAATCTAAATGAATCTAGGACAAGTTCTTCAGGCCGTACTTTAAGCTATATTGGCATAACCCAACTTTCATGACTAACCCAAGTGATAGAGATAAGTCCAAGCGAGATGATCCTGACTATGATCCGAATGAAGATGACTATGCTGAAAGTGTTGCTTGAATGATGGAACTATGATTATGTTTATTGTTTTCAATAATTGCCTTAAATGGAAAGGTTGTACTTTTCTTTTATTATTAATGAGATGAAGTTATTTTTATTAAGATTTTCTCTATGTTACTAAGTGAATTAAAAGCTTATGTAAGTAGAACTTGTTTTAATTTTCAAAGTATACCCAAGAAGTATGTCTACAAGGATGAGAGACCAAGTGAGAAGTAAGCGCACCGGTCCCAAAGTTGGGAAGATCCTTATAAAGTTAACCCATATCACTGAAAACATCGCGAAAGTGGTGAACAAAGGAAACCGAAATTCTGACCTTGACTCTCATACTGAAGTTTTTAAGAGAGTTGTTGTAGCCAAACCACTTGTTTACTTGAGAAAGGAAGATCCACCCAGCCTTGAAAACTAGATTAGAGAGTTCGATAAGTTGTTTGATGCAATCAATTGCCCAAGTGAGCTGAGGGTGACAATGGTGTTTACTATTTAAGAGAGGATGCTGACTTATGGTGGACCTAAAGAAAAGATGAGTTGATGAAAAGACCAAACTTTTGGTGGGATGAGTTCAAGGAAGCCTTGATGGAGAAGTTTTACCCTTCCTACTTGAGAAAGTAGGAATGCATGGAGTTTATCAACTTGAGAATGGGGAACATGTCTATCAATGAATACTACAACAAGTTCATTGAGTTAATGAGGTTTTCCCCGGAAGTAATCCCTATCGAAACCATTAAAGCTCAGAGATTTGAGCAAGGCCTAATCTTGACCCTCCAAGGGAAGCTATGGGGAGTTACCTTTGAGACCTTAGATGAAGTCCATGGCCGTGCATCCTACCTGTACGGGATTAAGGGGAGGGAGATGGAGCATGTTGGAGAGAAAAGGAAGAGCCTAGACTCTTTTCACGAGGGTGAAAAGAGACTTAAGCCCAATGGTAACTACCAAGGGAATTTTGGAGATAGGAGGGACAACAAGAGGAGCATTGGGAAAGGGATAGAGGACAGTCATCTAATGATAGGGGGAATGGGAATCAAAGGAGTGAGAAGCCTTGGAGAAAGTATTCCTGCAAGCGGTGTTAGAAAGATCACCCAGGGAAGGACTGTGAGGGAAAGCCGGTAACTTGTTGTTACTGTCAGAATTTGGGACACCGTGAGTATGAGTGTTATAAGAAAGAGGCTGACGTTAAGTCAGGTAAGGTGAAAGAGTCTAGTGTTCCTAATGAACCACCTTAGTCTAGTGGACCTACACCCAAGGTTGGAACCGGTAACGTTACAGGAGGTGCCCAAAGTTAAGGGTCGTGTGTTCGTGATGAGCAGCCGTGAGGCTAAAACTGATAATAATGTGGTAATTGGTGTTTTCCTTATAAGTTATTTGCCTGTGAAAGTTTTGTTTGATTCGGGAGAATCCCATTCCGTTATTTCTAAGAGAGTAGTTGGAAGTCTCGGGTCAGAAAGTCTTGAGTCAGTCTCTCTAGATGTGTCTATTCCGTCTGGGGATGTGAAGAGTTGTTCCAAGTTGTTTAAGAGTGTACCTATTTCCATTTCTAGGGTAGAATTTCTGTCGGATTTGATCGAGTTTGATTTGAAGGATCTCGATGTAAATCTAGTTATGGATTGGTTAGGAAAGTATGAAGCAAAGATTGATTGTGTAGCTGAAAAAGTTACTTTAACTAGCCCAAGTAAGGCCACAGTGGTGGATAAGAAGGAGGGGAAAAGTTCCGGGTTGAGAATTATTTCTGCGATGCAACTACAAAAGCTGATTAAGAAGGGTTTTCCTTTGTTTTTATGTAGTGTTCAAGAGATTGAAAGTGAAGAAAAGAAGGGTGATGGAAGTATACCTATTGCAGAGGAGTTTCCTGATGTATTTCCAAATGAGATTCCTGGTATGCCACCGGTGAGGGATGTTGAGTTCACTATCGACCTAGTGCCTGGTACTGGACCTATTTCTAAAGCTCCATATAGGATGGCTCCAGCTAAGATGAAGGAGTTAAAGACTTAGTTGGATGATTTGTTGGAAAAGGGCTACATTCGACCTAGTTCCTAACCTTGGGGAGCTCTAGTGTTGTTTGTATGGAAAAAGGATGGAAGTATGAGGTTGTGCATTTGATTATAGAGAGTTGAATAAGGTGACAGTGAAGAATAAGTATCCATTACCAAGGATTGATGATTTGTTTGACCAGCTGAAAGGGGCTGGAGTAATTTCAAAGATAGACTTGAGATTAGGTTATCACTAGTTGAGTATTGCGGAGCAAGATATTATAAAGAGTGCTTTTAGGACCCATTATGGTCATTATGAGTTCACGGTTATCCCGTGTGGTTTGACCAATGCACCAGTTGTGTTCTTGGATTTGATGCATAGGGTTTTCAGGCCATATCTAGATAAGGTTTGTAGTGGTATTTATTGACGATATTTTAATCTATTCAAAGGATGAAGAGGAGCATAAAGAGCATTTAAGACAAGTGTTGTCATGTTTGAGTAAGCATCAGTTGTATGCAAAGTTGTCCAAGTGTGAATTTTGGTTGAAAAAAGTAGCATTTTTGGGGCATGTGATTTCCAGGGAAGGAGTCTCAGTGGACCCAAGTAAGATTCGAGCTATTGGTGATTAACCAACCCCAAAGAATGT